GGTCGTGCTACAAATGCTTATAGTCCCCTAGCACGTACGGACTTTCAAGATTGTGCTACAAATGCTTATAGTCTTCTAGCACGTACGGACTTTCAAGATTGTGCTACAAATGCTTATAGTCCCCTAGCGCGTCGGCAAGTGGTGACATCGGCTAAGGACAAGGCTTCGGCAACTAGGGTGACAATGACCTCGGCTAGGAAGGACAACACTTGACTAAGCTGTGCCACACCTTGGCCTAGATGTGCCACACCTCGGTCTAGGTCATACCACTCCAGGACAAGGTCGCTCAGGTGCAAAGGTAACATCTCGGCCTAGATAATACACATCTCGGCCTTGGTGATGCACACCTCAGCCTGGACAATGACATCTCGGCCGATATGTCAAAGCAAAGGTGGAGGTCAAACGAAGGGGTTCCAAGATACTTCTAAACTGAAGATGACATCGGCTTGGAATGATCTAGGCATAACGTAACCTAGGCTTGGCATAACATCGGCTAACATAACTTAGGCTTGGCGTGACCTAGGCTTCACATTAAGGAAGGAGCAAAGCATGCAGCAACACTTAGACAGATCACATAGGCATCAAAACAAGGCAAGACAAGATTCATGGATGCAAACTTAGCAAGACAAAGTTGTGTAAGTGAACATGATCATGACTACAACACGAATATGGATTGTTGCAGCAACTTTACATGGCAAAACATATAAATGCATGCAACATGACTAGGACATGAAATGTGGGTTGCTACAATAAGAGTTGTGCATAAGTCAAATGGAATGGCATACATCTTTACATAGCTTTACAACTTGAATACAAAAGTACATATTACATCTTGGCAAAAGGCTTCTCAAGCCGACATAAATATAACACATGAAATACAAATCAAGAATACATAATCTTCAGATTGCCGACATCCTCAAAGCCGACATAACATGCATAAAAATACACATCTCGGCGAAGCCGACTTCTTGCTTGTTACCTACATATATACATAGGGAGGGTAAGCTTGGATACTTAGTGAATGGTACAAGTAATAAAGAGGTTAAATGAATGATTCCCGAGGTCTTTGTCAAAACAATACATATATATATATATATCAAAACCATACTTATCATAGCTTGTACAAAATATGAGATAAATCTTGTTCATCAAACTTGATCTTGTAAAACTTACATACTTAACATGCGTCAAATCTTATAACATAACCTCGGCATAATGGAGTTCGTGTTACTTAGGCCCGTAGCCCGCTTTAACACTGTGGAGCTCGTGTTACTTAGGCCCGTAGCCCGCTTTAACACTGTGGAGCTCGTGTTACTTAGGCCCGTAGCCCACTTTAACATGATAGTCTTTCCAAGAAAGGACCGTATCCTTTTACACTTAGTGCTGCGAAAGTTTAGAGTCCTCCAGCACAAGGGACTTTCCGAGAAGGTCATCAAAACAAAGCTTGTACTTGATACATAAAATAGGGATATCATTCATGCTTAACAAATACTTTCGTCAAAACAAGCAAAGCAAGATTTATCAAAACAGTATAACATAACTTTATTAAAAGCACCACTCACTCTAGTTCTTGGGACGTCGGGGTCAAGGCAAAGGTCCAAGTCCTACAAACACATGGCAAAGCATACTGAACATACATCTCAAAACAAGTCTTACATGCATGCAAATGATCTCGGAGAGACATGCTAGAAGTCAAAACACTGTTTTACATGTCAGGAAGACATGCTGGGTACCAACCAGGTCTAAGCCGAGGTCCTACACCTCCTTGCCGAGGTGTGGTCTCGATGGCCTCATTCAAAAGCAAAGTCGGGAGAACCTGGGTTTCCCTTTGAAGAACAATGAAAACATCCGATCATGAGAAAGATGAATGCAAGATCGTAACTTGTTACAAAAATCTGAGATTTCATGCCATGAGTTCGAAAACATGGCCTGGGTACCCATACTTGAAAATCATGCAAGAACAAACACAAAACATGGATTTAGGCGAGCCTTCGGATCAAAACATGGCTTTTCTGAGAAACAATGAACGTATTTCTCTTTCTAAAACTGAACTTCAAAGCAATGCATGCTTACAAATCATATTCAATCATGCAATGCAATAACATGAACATAAAGGATGACAAGAGCGGATCAAAGATCTAACCTTAGAACAGCATCTAACGGTTCGATCTCTAGGGATCAAGCGTTGAAAATCACTCTCTCTCACTCTAAACTTCTTCTTCTTCTTCTAGAGCTTCTCTCTCCTCACAAACAAAGATGTATAGAAAATGATACATTTCTAAGTCTGCTGGCTGACTTAACCCTCTACAGAGGCACGTGGCAGCGGCTGGTTGGTGCTACACAGAAAGGTGGTTGAGTGACAAGACAAAACTATGACAAAGTGTGTTCGACAAGCAAGACGGTATGGGCACTCTGGCGAGTAATGATCTCGGCTAAGAGAAAGACATCGGCAAGTAGGGAACAATGACCTCGGCTAGGAAGGACGACACTTGACTAAGCTGTGCCACACCTTGGCCTAGATGTGCCACACCTCGGTCTAGGTCATACCACTCTAGAACAAGATCACTCAGGTGCAAAGGTAACATCTCGGCCTAGATAATACACATCTCGGCCTTGGTGATTCACACCTTAGCCTAGATAATGACATCTCGGCCAATATGTCAAAGCAAAGGTG